TTTCCAAAACGCTAATTCTCCATACCAACATTGGCAGTTATTAGAAAGTGGGTTGTCCGAATCAACCCCCCCTCCCCCCCCCGGGGGGGTCGTCACATTTCGTTGGGATAATTGACGTTCTACTGAATTTATATGCACAATCATTTGAATAAAAATAAAATGACTAACGTTTTCCTTAGCTTTCTATAGCTTAATTAATATATAATATATATTTTTTAATAAAAAAATCATACATTTTAAATTGATAATGGGGGTGACCAAAATATTTTTTTCTAAAAAAAAAATTCTATATGCCTACGTGTCATTTATTTGTTTGTTTAATTACTACTTCCTGAGAATAACGTATGACGTTTGCCCCCACCCCCCCCCCCTCCTGGGGGTGTAAGTCGTCCTTCCTGGCACAGGACCAAAAAAAAGTGTGCGTGGCCCTGGGGGGGGGGTCGCTACGTCAATGGTTTGTTATTAATCATAAAAAAAAAGGGTTATTGAGTTTGGTTTTTGCAAAGACAAAATGCTGAACGAAGAAGAAGAAGAAAAGAGCATTCAAATGTAAGCTTACCACCGCGTAGCAATTGAAATACGGGGCCGCAGAACGACGAAGTTCGACACCAATAGTGCAAAAAGTAGGCTACACGACTATCGGAACGCGGCAGTGCACCAAAGGAAAACTATTTGCCCGTTACGTTGATGGAATTCTTTACGGTTACAAGCGTGCATGGTTGACAGGTTCTGATAATGAGGCCTACTTTCTCGACTGAAGAGTTAGGTCTGGAAGGGCAAGAACTTCATCCGAGGGGCACTGGGGTTGTTTTCGGGCTATTGTGTAATTGTAACGATTTGTGGTTCTGACTTACCGGTATGGTATGCAGATGCTCCACCCATACATGACGGACCGCCAATGAAATTATTATTTATTGTTATTATTTTTTAATGATATCGGTAAGCAAAAGTTTGAATTTAGATTACCTCTTCTCAACAAAAAAAAAAAAAAGTACATTGTGCATGAACAAATGAGGAGGAGGTGATGTGATAAGTGAAATACAAGGGTCAAGGGCGGGGGTGGTATCAGAGTGTAGTGTGAGTGGGGGCTATGAGTGTTCGGGTAGGGGGGGGGTGTCCACTAGCGACACTGGGGGTCTTGTGTGCACAAAGTACAAAATCAGCAACATTATGGCCGGGGGGGGGGGACGACAACATATTTGGGGTTAGGGGTCAAGGTCATATTTGAAATCATTATCATAAGTTTTGGAAGTGGGCTGTCGTTCATACAATTTACAGTGCAATGATAAGCAGTTAAGCAAACACAACAAGGGTCAACATTTTGTACAACACACATACCGTGCATAGTGTTTATTCGGAGCTCCGGAACTTCGTAAGCCAGACAATGGTACCGTACTTGTTAAACTACTCTGGGGGTCTCGTCAGCGGGAGTTGCGCAGCCACGCGTTGGCCTTAATGAATGCACCAGCCACATGTGAACTTTACGGGCAACTCAAACACGCTGACTCGGCGGTTTCCAGGTCCTTTAAGCTGACCCTAAATGTCCCATGTCTTATAAGCTGACCCTAAATGCCCCATGTCTTATAAGCTGACCCTAAATGTCCCATGTCTTATAAGCTGACCCTAAATGTCCCATGTCTTATAAGCTGACCCTAAATGCCCCATGTCTTATAAGCTGACCCTAAATGCCCCATGTCTTATAAGCTGACCCTAAATGCCCCATGTCTTATAAGCTGACCCTAAATGTCCCATGTCTTATAAGCTGACCCTAAATGCCCCACGTCTTATAAGCTGACCCTAAATGCCTCATGTCTTATAAGCTGACCCTAAATATCCCATGTCTTATAAGCTGACCCTAAATTAAATGTCCCATGTCTTATAAGTTGACCCTAGATGTCCCAAGTCATTCATTTTAAGCTGACCCTAGATGTCCCATATCTTTTAAGCTGAACCTTAAGTTTCCATGTCCGAAAGATGACTTACACTTAGCGATAACATTAACTTAAATTATTTATTTAGCGCAGCATTTTAGTTGTTTTGACCACTGACAGCTGACCACCCGCTGACATAGCTGGCCGCCTACTGACATAGCTTAACCAGCTACTGACATAGTTGACCACCCTACCTGACAATTACTGACCTAGCTGACCACCTACTGACATATATGACCAGCTACTGACCACCTACTTATCTAGCTAACCACCTACTGCCTTAGTTGACCACCTAGCATGTCTGACCTGATACTGTAATATCTGACCTGATACTGTAATATCTGACCACCTACTGACATAGCTGACCACCTACTGACTTTGCAAACACAGTATCCATAACTGCTAATTATCTACCTACTTAGCTAACAACTAACTGACTTAGCTAACAATCTACTTACTTAGCTACAACCTATTGACTTTGTTAACAAGCCGATGATATATTATCAATTGATAATTTAAATAGATGTCATTGAAAGTTAAAGCCAGCTGCCATGGGATCCAGCAGATCTGATCAAAGAACCCTTCCAGTCAGATCTGATCAAAGAACCCTTCCAGTCAGATCTGATCAAAGAATCCTTCCAGTCAGATCTGATCAAAGAACCCTTCCAGTCAGATCTGATCAAAGCACCCTTCCAGTCAGAGCTGATCAAAGAACCCTCCCAGACAGATCTGATCAAAGAACCCTCCCAGACAGAGCTGATCAAAGAACCCTTCCAGACACTTACCTTGATGTGGTGTAGAGGCATACTGGTAAGAGGCCCATGATTCATAGACTGCACACTTGTTTGTGTATTCTCTGTGTTGAGTCGGCCACCCGCCAGAGTTTAACAACAAAAAAACTGCTATAAAATGATTAGGAGGTCCACAGAAAATATGCACCTTTTCCACCCCCCCCCCAATCCACCCTTGTCCACACGTGGCTTCTCCCACCCCCTTCCCTTCAGTTGCTGATATGCGCATACGGGAATATACTATTTGAAAAACCTGGATGCATAATAACAACGATAAAGAGCAAATTCAATACCTTAGATTTAAGCCGTTGAATTAAGTTGGTTAATATAAATCATTCAATTAGTCAAACAGACCTGAGAATTAAAGATATTTTTGTCAAAAGCCAAAACTTGAATTTGTTAATTTTTGACATCCATCCATCACAATGTGACAATGTCGTAGACTCCAAAGGGCCAAATCACAATCCATCACAATGTGACAATGTCGTAGACTCCAAAGGGCCAAATCACAATCCATCACAATGTGACAATGTCGTAGACTCCAAAGGGCCAAATCACAATCCATCACAATGTGACAATGGTGTAGACTCCAAAGGGCCAAATCACAATCCATCACAATGTGACAATGGTGTAGACTCCAAAGGGCCAAATCACAATCCATCACAATGTGACAATGGTGTAGACTCCAAAGGGCCAAGTCACAAGGCCTGAGATTTTTCTTTAGGAGGATAAGCTGGTTCCCTAGACAAAGCACCTTTCACCATGCATCTGGATAACCAAATAGAACATCATGTGTGGATGTTACAAGTTCGGCACCAGTAGCTATTGTTGATAAATAGCCTGGTTCCCTAGACAAAGCACCTTTCACCATGCATCTGGATAACCAAATAGAACATCATGTGTGGATGTTACAAATTCGGCACCAGTAGCTATTGTTGATAAATAGCCTGGTTCCCTAGACAAAGCACCTTTCACCATGCATCTGGATAACCAAATAGAACATCATGTGTGGATGTTACAAGTTCGGCACCAGTAGCTACTGTTGATAAATAGCAACGAATATTTGGAGTGGTCTCCTTAGTGAAGTTTTCACTAATTTCTTGTACTTGTAGTTAAGATTACAATTAATTTGCAAATATGTTAGCCATGGAGGACATATTGGAATCTTCTTCTTCTCATGCCTTTTAACCCCGTCTGGGGCAAAGGCCATCCACAAGAATTTTCCTTTCATCATGGTCCTTTCCAGTTGCTTCCCGGTGTATCCCGTACTTTGCCTGTCTGCCTCTAGCTCGCATCTCCATGTATTCTTTGGCCTTCCTATTTTTCCCTGTGCATTTCATGTTTGGTATTGTGTGGTGATGCTATCTGGGGGTTTTCGGAGAGTATGCCTTATCCACCTCCATCTTTTCTTTACCATGTCTTTATCAATGGGCACCTGGTAAGTCCTTTCTAATAGATCTTTGTTGGAGATGGTATTTGGCCATTTGATTTTCAGGATCTTTCTAAGGCATGTGTTTATAAAGGTCTGTATATTGCTCGCTGTTGTTTTCCAAGTTTTAGCTCCATATAGTAGGACTGTTTTCACATTTGTTTTAAAGATATTGGAATAAATATTACAAAATGCTAGCTCATGGATGCCCGCGAGATTCTTTACACCCCCCACCCCTTGTGTGGATTTGAACAAACCCACTTTCCTTCCATCTTTGCGGACGACCTTTATGAACCACCCCATAACTAATTCATACCCACTGTTATCGGGGAAAGGAGGCTCTGTTAAAAAAAAGACGATGACATGACCTATTCAAACTCGAAAGAAAGCTTCATTGCAGACTTCAAGTACATCTTTTACGCTGAGGGAATTCATCCAGATTGGCAACTAGAATGTCGACACAGTGCATGAGATGGGCAAAGTAAGCCAGATGGTAGCAGAAATATGAAAACACCTGGCATAAAATAAAGAGGTTTAAAACGATGTGGCCTACTTAATAAAAGATTGAAAGGGCTAGAAAGTTTTGGAGACGATTGAAAGAGACTGGACGGCGTAGAAAGATATTAATGGCCTATGGTCCAAAGGGAGTTGAACAAGAAGAATTCCCAGAACCTGAACCTCAGGACATAGGGTTATTTGTTGTTATATAAACTTTAAAAGAAACAACCTGAACACTTGTTTTATGATATTGAACTTAACTGATCCCTTGTACCGGTATAACAACAAAACAAACAAGAAATTGGGTACATCATTAAAAACACTGTGCTGTAATCACCAACAAAATCAGGGATCTAGTAGCAGGTGAGAAACCATTTATTTGAATCAACAAACAGCCATGCACATTTCAACATCTGGTATTTTCATCTGAACCATTCCATGTGGCAGGTACATAGCTTCTAAGTATTATGCTACATCTGACATCTGTACACTTTTGTTTGAAAACATCCATACGCCATTCAGCAATGTCATGACTAACATGTACCTGTCTACTGTTTAATGACTGCTGGCCAGTGACCTGGGGGGGAGGGGCGGTCCACCATGGCTGCAATTTTTATTTTTTATGCTTATGATTTTTCTTGAATGAACCAGAGATCCTCAAACGTTTGTTGCTAAAGGGACTAAAGTGATAGCTAAAAAGAGAGGACCCTGGGTGCCTTCTCTTTCCAAGCTACAGAGGTTCACAAAGATTAAGAGTAACTTACATAGGAGATTTGTGAACTCTTTTAATTATACCAAAGGTTATAATGAAACAGACTCAAAGTTTTCATCCTTAACTCATTTCCCTGACTGCCTCATTTATTCTCCCTGGATGTCCCATTTTTTTTAAAAAAATTGGTATTTCCCAACCAAAGGGAAATAACGCCAATTTCCACTTATAAATGTTTTTGTTTTTTTAAATCTTAAACAAAACAAATAAAACAAGCTAAAACCAAATGCATCAAGAATTGGATACATTTAAAAAAAAAATTAAAATAACATTGATGACCAAGACTGTCAAGAGCATTAAAACAATAACAAATGTGAGTACTTTGTAAAAAACATGCAGACCAGATAAAAAAACTTTTTTTTAAAAATAGGTATGGATAATTTAATAAAAGGTATTTCTTTAAATGAAGGTTAAAAAAACAACTTTAAGAAAAAAAAAAAATTGAAACCAGACATCTAGATGCAATCAGGTAGGAATGAGTTAGCTCAGACTATACGTAATGACTTTTAATAAAAGATACATCTCCAGAAAATTTTGGAGGATTAGCATATTTGAACAGGTACATATTGTCCTGTCTACTAATTAGCATATATCAACAGGTACATATGTCCCAGTCTATTCAGTATCACATCATAAAAATTGCAGCCAAATCTATTTAAAACAAAATAACATAAAAAAATTGCAGAAAATTTTCAAAACTATTTATATAATTGAATTTCTGTAAAATCTTTGTGCTTCTCGTTCAAGATTTTATGGGACTATCATATCATTACATTCAATCCTGGCAGGGAAGACAAAAATAATGTCACAAGTTCAAGTCTTAAACTCCACTCAAAAAGGACCCACAACTTTTTACTATTTTGTGTTTACATATATCTATTTAATTTTAACCAAGTCCGCGTGAAACACGTTTGATTCAAATCCTAATTTTCCCAAGCACCCAAATTTAAAAAAAAAAAAAATACCCTTCCTTCCAGAGGTCAACCACATCCTTCTTCTTTTAACCTCTGCATCATTTCCTGTAACAACCTCTGTGTGGGGGCGCTGGGCATGATCATGTGATCGGCTTCAGAGTCACTGGAGTTGCTTTCATTCTCTGTGCTGCTGTCGTCTTCCCCGTAGTCCACTATTCCAGGGAGGATGCCAGCTACAACCATGATGCCATCTGTTGGTGACACACCCGCCATTAACTTGGCGTCCGGTTCTTCATTGGCTGCAGGCAGAATTAGAAAGAACTTGTTGAAAGAAATTACCAATTACAAAGTTTAATTAAAGAGAAATTAAAACTTGCCAAAGGAGCTCATGAGTGGGCTCTCCTCATGTAATGGCCAGTTCTGGAATAAGAGCTTGTCTGTTAGCCCCTAAAACAGCAGTTCTCAACCTGGGGGTCGAATGACCATTTCCCAGGGGTCACCAAAGACCATCGGAAAACACGCCCGATCAACGGTTATGAAGCAGCAACGAAAATAATTTTGTTTTTGGGGTTGCCACAACGTGAGGAACTGTAATTAAGGGTTGCGGCATTAGAAAGGTTGAGAACTTAAATTTCCCCAGGGGGTCATGTTAAAATAACCAGTATCCCCTGCAGTGTTCACATTTGAGTTTTAAAAGAAACATAAAGCTGACAGCCATTAATTTAAACACAATTGAAAAATCAAACCGCTAAAATCTGAGAGGCTTACAATTGTGTTGCTTCTGTTTTTTATCATCCACATCAGATTTGGCATCAGTACTGCAAGAAAGAAAAAAAAGAATAGTCATAAAAAGAATGAGAGAACATTTTAGCAAAAAATAAATTACCGGTTAAAACTTTCCCCATCTGCACCGAATCAAACGACAACAGGACCATGGTTTTTCCCCCAGGGGGTGGCGGGGGAGGTCATATTGGTCTGCAGTGGGAAACTTCTTACTCTGTAAGATCAACTCCTCGGAGCGATCTGTTTGGCATTCCTGGGGTAGCTGGATCTTGCCCTGCTAGTGCTAGGTCAAAACATCCCAGGGGAGCTACCATGCCATACCTTTCCTCTCTAAAAGGAGGCAGGATCCTGGAAGATGATTTCCCGGGGGATCCATTAGAGATATTGCTTGGTTGGTCAATGCCATCTCAAGACTCAAATGCAAAATTTTCAGCAAAAAGTAAAGATATTTAAAATAAAAATGTTTCGATAAATAAATGAGCTTTACAGATACACCTTAACAGTGTAGCAAAATAAATGTGTTAATTGATGTAAGTTAATTTTGTAATTCAGCTAATATAACTAGACACCTGTCAATTAAATTTATTAACTAGAGAATTTACTGTAAGCATATTAAGTGCTTTTTTTAATAACATGAAACCTATCAAATCAGTGATGACAAATATTTCAGCATGCCTAGGCTACATGAATCCTATTAATAAATCAGTGATGACAAATATTTCAGCACGACTGGGCTACACCAAAAAAACAAAGTCGATTTTAAATTGTACATATTTTAACATTTGAAGAAAATGTAAAATTCCTTGTGAATAAATTATTAATTGTCGAGACAAACTTTGATGCAAGTTAGACACAACATTAACCAGCATGATGCAACAATTTATTCAAACAGCATGATGCAAAAATTTATTCGTGTGCCCAAGTCAACCTATTGATCTCCATCCCTAATGTCATGTTACGATGCGGTTCAAACTTCAATGCAAACGGGACACAAGGGCAGAAAATATTATGGGGGATTTAAAAAACAAGGCAGGAAAGTGAGTAACTCGTGGAGAGAGCTCACACCAACTGACCAGTGTGACATGGGGTTAGAAAAGCCCAACTCGCAGCATTAGCTCAATAACTCAAGAAGTGCAAATGTTTTGTGCTTGATTGGAATGTAGCTGTATCGAGAAATAAAGAAGTGTGTTTTTTTTTCATCAAGGACTTGAGTTAATGCTTCACAAATCATACCACAGACTCAATTAAGCCCCCCTTCATAACCGTAATTAATAATTTAGGCATCAGAGTAGAGTAGAAGTAAGATGTGGTTTACCTTTTTCTTTTGATGGCACCTTGCAGCAAAAGTTTTTGTGAGTTTTTACTGGATGTACCAGATGTTTGTGCGGCTGTTTTACTGATGTCAGACCCTGGAGCCTTCTCTTTTTTCTCTTGTAATTTAATAATAGATGCATTGTAAGTTTTTGTTAAGGAAAATGCAAGAAAAAATAATTAAATAAAAAGATATTCAGGTAATTTTAAGTATAGCGAATTTAAACGATATTTATTCTTTCTAATGGTATTCCAAATGGAGTTGAACATAGTATCTACTGCTGCAATATTTCAGATACACCTCTCTGCACTAAGATTAGAGTTTAATAAGATGATTTTGATTTATAAACATTTCCTACAATAGTTCATTATCATTCTTTTCAAGTTATCTAACTACCTGCTAACATTAAAGCGAAAATTAATTTTGCATTTCAATTATTCAACACTGATACAAATTTATTAGTCAGAAATGGAGTGCACATTTTTGACTGACTTTTTAAAAATCCTTTAGGCAACATAAAATTTGACTAAATCCCAAACAAATAGGATCTGGATCAAATAGGAGAATTCATAAGCTAAAGAATGTAATGAAGTGAGTGCATGGAGTTAATTCATTCTCAGGTATTAGTATTAAGATTATTATTTTATTTTTTTTGTGACATCTGTCTGTCACAATATGATGATAATGTAGAATTTGCAGGACGAAATCAAAAAGGAATTTTTTTTCTTTAGAAGGTTAAACTGGTTTCCTAGACAGCAAATAATCTCTCCCCACGCATCTGGATAGCCCAAGGGAATCATTTCTCGATGATACAGCTTGGCACCAGTCGTGTCGCAGGAGTGGCTGGAATTTTAATTGCGTCAATGTGATACCACCTATGAGACTCCATCTCCAGGTTTGAGTGCCATTCACCTGGGGTGCTCAGGATGATTTTGCTTGTCTGGGGTTGGGGTGCCTTCCAGCACCCCAACCCAATTAAGATAAGTTATGACAGTAAAAAATTAAATTATTTTTAAGGATATCTTCAGCTCTTCAAGGACTGACTTATCTTCTCTGTTGCGGTCTTTTTCTATTTGTATCTGCCTGTCTGAGACAAAATTGAGAAACTGAACTTCGTCATCATCAAGACCTTTAACACTGCTACCTGCAACATAAATTAAAGACAAAATATTTCAAGGGTTAATACAAATACAATGTAAACCAATAGCCAAGCCTATGAATGTTAATTGTTTTACAAAAATTTAAACATCTACCTTGCAAATATTATAATAAAGACAAGAAGTTGTGAGAGATAAAATCAATAATGTTATTAAAAACTGCTCTTAAAAATACAAGAAAATTTCTTTTTCCAGTTCAAAATTGTTAGGAAAAAAAACAAGTAAATTACGTACGTAATTTTGTCTCATCCTCAAGTTCTCGTTCTTTCAGCTCTTTATTTGCCTGTAGTTGTTCAAATAGCGACCTGGTTTTTTCTTCAGGGCATTCTGTTGCAAGGAAATAAAGAAATCCACAATTTCAAATCAGATACTACTACCAATGTCTTTTATGAAACTACAATTGACTTAATAAGCTTTTGACAGTTTCATCTGTGGGCAACAAAAGTATTAATTACCTTAACCCGCAAAGCTGAACTATTATTAAGGACATGTGTCAAAGCTGCATTTTAACATTCTATAGTCTAATAGTGTGCGCCAACATTTGCAGCACTGAAATGACAATACAAACAAAGTTACCTTGCTTTTACATAACTCATTTCTTCTTAAAGAAACTTACATATGAACTGTTAGTGTGTAGATTTAACATGGTATACGAAATGTAAGTGTTCTAATAGTACAGATCACTCAAAACCAATGAAGCAAGTTGTCTGGCAATTGATGTAGCTGTCTAAGTGAATGTGTTTTTCACCCGAGAACCACACCACAATGTTTCATCCTGGCAGCACATCTGGTGTTGTCCAACCTGTATCCTTAACAAAAATCCAACAATGGCTTTGAACAATTGGCAAACGAATGCATTGCTAATGTAAGTTTCAAGGATGTTCCTCATAGACTTTGTAAGGGCAAATGCAGTACCTTCTGAAGAACACATACGTGATTCTCATTTGATGAATTAGTTACTGATTGAACAGACTTCCCCTTCTGTTGACACAGTACACGATCAGAAGTCCAAAATTGTGGAACAATACACAGTACAACTGTGTTACTTCCAGCCATCTTATTAAATCTCTCTCATAATTATTCTGCCACCTTTTTCAAAGTCGGTGCCCCTCCTTGGCCAGTTCCACGTTAAAAAAAAGCTCAACTGTTATAACTTTTTCCTCTGTTGAGAGACCCATTTCCGATAATTCCCCAACATAACTTCCTTTTCACTATTTGGAACAAGTGGCAGATGGCGCTATGCACCAAAGACATAGCACATATATATTCAAGATGCATAAGTTTCAGTACTGTATATTTTTGTGCATACTGCATCGCAATAAATATTATTCTTGTTTAACTACCCAGCTAATTTTACATTAATAGTACCTATTGGATCGTCTTCTTTCCTAACTTTGTCCCATTCGGCTTGCCGGCGTTGCCGCTGTTCTTGGACCTCCTCTTCAGAGACAAAAGCTTTAAACTGTCCACTCATGGCCAATTACTATGATTATCTACCTAGTTAAAAAAAAAAATTTAAATCATTGTTTACATTTTTATTTATATAATTTATATCATTAAAAAAACTAACTAAACCAAATGCTATCATGTAGTTTTCCAGTTTATTATGAGGCACCACTTCAATTGAATAAATCTTACTGAAAAAACATTACTATAAATCCCCAAATTATAAAGTGGAAATTACACCTACTTTACTTAATATAATTTTTGGAAATCATTATGATTTAATTAGACAGCTTTGGCTGTGGTTTTAAGCCAGAAAAATTTAGTCTGAGAAAAATTAAGTCAAAATAAAAAATCCTTCCTACTAAACTACTCATTGCCATAAATCACATAACCATTTGCTTAGGGGTCTATTATGTTTTCAAATTAAAACTTATCACTGGAGGCGGAGGAAGAGTCCGAAAAAATGTTGGCTTCTGTTTAGTATTAATTACTATTATTCTATATGGACTAAATCAGTTAGTAAATTACACACAGCCTAAAACTAAAAATGAATGATTCTCATTATGGTGGTAGTTAGACCTATGCCCTAATATTATATTATAATTAAGACCTTTTTAATAATATGCTATATATTATTAAATACTAGCTGGAGACAGATGACTATTTTAAAAATGAAATAAATATGAAAGCAAATAACCACACTTATTTTAAAATATATTTATATGAATAGGCCTATGACAAATAATTAAATAATAAATATGATAATAATAAACAATGTGAATGTTGTGAGTGCTGGTAAGTATAATTATACTACAGAAGAGCCCGATTATGTCGACGGCCTCAGGGTTTGCCAAAAAGCGTAGAGAGAACTGATGATCGAGATAAACAAAAACTTATATGGCGGCAATATATTAATATGTGCTTGAAATTTCTTTATGTTCATGATGTGCGTTAATAAATGTAGTTATTTCAGTTAAATATTTAAGTTATTTTGAGCAAATTTCAAATAGAAAAATGAAATAAGAATCAACTTTTTAGACTTTAGTACACTTTGAGCTACGAATTTTTATAGTGCGAGTTCGTTTGGTATTTTCTATGTTCCAAGCCTCCACATTTTGTAACTTCATTCTGCTGTTCGCGTCATGCACAATGACTATATAGTTTGTACAAGTATAAGGCAACACATCCCCTTATTACTAAAATACTGTTTAGGGACTACTTATTTTGAACTTTCAACTTTGGCAATGACTATTTAATTAAAGCTTTCCCTGACCAATGGTTTAATAGTTTTTGCACACTGTAAACTCTTATGAATGAAACTCATGGGTAGTACTACGGCATAGCCATTTTACAAGTGAATGGCTGCCCATGACAACGTTTTGCCCTCTGCAAATTATGATCATTTATAATATGGACTTGACCAGGTTTTTAAAACTCAAATTAAAACATATTTATTTAAATTACTTCTAGATTCTAGGTTCATTCTAAAACACAAGTCCTGTATTTTGAGAAATAAATTATTGTTAACATTATGCAAAACTTGTTAATTTGTTGTTTGCTATTATTTCTTCTTGCCGAGTTCAAAAGCCGGCGACTGTTCATGTAGACAGAGAAAACTGAGGTTAAGTGGAAAATTTTGCCTCCTTTTGTGCTTGAGATATTAGGGTTTGGCGACATAAAAGAATCAACATAAAACCGAGGAGAAAATGCTAAGACAAAATAAAAGAGAGAATTTGGCTGTTCCACATAAAAAAAATCAACTTAACAGGGTTGGCAAGTTAAACGAGGTCGAGATAAGCGGGTTGGACTCTTAAGTCTAAATAATTGAAATTGCAGAGCAATTCTTGAGTTGACATCATCATTTGAAGACTACAGTCCCTGCAGGCCTAGTAATTATTTAACGGCAACCAGGTAGTAATGTGTTTAGACTTTAAACTTCACTAGTTTAGTTTAGACTTAGACTTATACTTTAGACGTTTAGACTTCAATTTTACTAAAATAAGTTAATTAAAAGCTTTCATTTAAATTTTAAATTAAAATCGGCTTAGAGCACTGATATAGCTGATTTATTAAAGTGATATGGATGGCAATTCAATGATCAATATTAATTGTCAATTTAAGTCATTTAACTTTAACAGTTACATGTACTAGTACTAGTCACCAGTGCTAGGGAGGCTACTCATTTTTTTTAGACTGAACGATAGGATGCCAAGTAACAATAGTAACATTGGTATACCGAAACTAATCACAAGAGTCAAAACGGTTAAAATATTTCAGAAAAAAAAAGTAATATGTATCAAGTAAGATTAGATACTTGGACGACTTTAGAATTTACATGATAAAACTAAAACTTACGAAGTCTCGCTAACTCTTATGAGTTACTCTTGCGGTAGTGATGATAAGAGTAACCCTACTTACCGAGATCACGTAAAACCGAAAAAAATTCTTTGAGAGACAAAAGTATTCATATTTTGATATCAAAATAATGCTCTATAAATATTTTGGCTTAAGCAATTCATTATTTTCGTATATTTATTTTTTTAAATCAATATAAAACATTATTAATTAATATATAAATCAATATAAATGTTTTGTCCACATTAGAAATGTCCCATAATACATATAGTAAAGAATATATGATATGTTATATAATATATATATTATATATATATATATATTTATATATATATATATATATGGTATGCCTATCTTTGATTTTGATGTATTGTTAATGATAGTAAATGTTCTTTCTGTTTAATTATTTTTAAATATAAATAATTCAGCTTTCAAAAAATTAATTGCCATCAATTTGATTTTAATACAATATGCATCATAATTGAAAGAAGCATTTTTCAATTATTTGGATATGCATACAGTTTGTTGAAACCTGATACATCCTCATTGAGAACACAATAGACATTTTTAATTTTAAAAAAAAACAACCCAAGTCAAACAAACAAAAAGTAATCAAAATAAAACATGAAAACTTTAATCATTTTGAAATATATTTCATTTTTAATTAAATAACATTACTATTTATAGAAGAAAGTCCAAGAGTCACAAACTCAAAGTACTTAAATGTAACATCAACAATTGGAACAAATCATTTCAACAAAGAAAGGAAACCAAATAAGCAAACATTTGTATTTATTCATCAAAATTTATTACATTACGTTTTATTTCATTGGTTACTTACATTATATTTTGCAATGTTAGTGTTAGGATGATCTGTGGATAAATTTTACTTGTCTAGAAACAGTCTATCTTCCAATGTGTTACATATCTAGAAGCAGCCAACGGATGCTGACATTTTTTCCCCATTGAAATATTAGATAAAACAAATAGAAATTTTTTTCATATTCATTTGTATATTACATTTAAAAATTGGATGAACCTTTATAACGGTACCCTACTGTCGTAATATCACACTACGTTAAACACATTAGTGTGTCTATACTTCTTGAGGTTTTTGGGGTATAATATTATATTTTATTTATCAAATTTGCAAAATGTTCCATGTACACTGTGGTAAAATCTGTGACCACTGGTTGATTTAATGCAGTCTAAAAAATTAATTGAAAAAATATTATTATAAATATTTAGATACTCGGTACATGTCTGGATGAAAGAGCATTCATTAACTTTATTAACTTTTATACATTCAAATAATTCAATAAATTCTGACAGATTATACAAAAAATTAATAGCACTTTAAGTACTTAAACCATAACTTGAAAAACATATTGATACTATAAAATGATTTAACTAGTATGTAGATATCCTGTTTAGTTAATTAATGGGTAAAGACTTGATACAAATTTATTTTTTTTATAACTTCCTAAAATTTACCAAAATCATGAGACAAAAAAATTGGTTTACTTTTATCCTTACATCAGATAAATTATAAATATTTCAGTAAACATGTACATATAAATTTGTTAATTTATTATTATTTTTGTTAAGACTTTTGACTTTTGAGTTTTCTAACCTAATAGGTATAACTTATTATTTTGAACTAAAATACTGATATTGAAGATATGAAATGTACAAATTCAGTCTTTAAGTGTGATAACAAATGATTTGTTGCCTGCTCGACAGCAAATTTGTTGAACAACAATCACACTGAGTTCAGTATTTTCAGCCACAAAGTGTCCCAGCATTCCCTGATTGGTGAAAAGAGATTTGTATTTTTTATAAATGACAAAACAATGTTTGTATAAGTTAACAATTCTAAAATTACAATAAAAAATATTGAAGCAGTCTCAAAGAAAAAAAAAAGTCCCTGATGGGTTTTTCATTTTATAAATAAGAAATTAAATGGCTTCAATGATTCTGTTTCATTTTTTTAAATATAGTTATACTTTTACCACAGGCTTTTACATTGAAGAAAATGGCATATGTTCTACAGCAGGCCTGCACACTTCAAAGTGTAAGGCGGGCCATAATACATTATGTAAAACGTATGCGGGTCGAAAGAAAATAGGACAGGACTTGTGCGGGCCAAAAGAAAATAGGTCAGGGGGAAAGCTATTAATAAAATATGAAGAATATAGAATATTTTGTTTCTCCCGGGCCGCAAAGTAGGTGCTGGCGGGCCCCATGCGGCCCACAGGCCTTATGTTGTGCAGACCTGTTCTACATTAATCTAGGTTATTACAATTTTTCTATATTAAATATTAACAAATAATCTCAGATCAGTTAAATGCATTTTTTTTTCCTAGCTACCCTGTACTTCATGAGCATCAAAAAAACTAAATCAATTTTTAATCCAAATGCCAAATTCAGATTATGGCAAACTCCATCTTGCATTGCTTAACATAAAGGAAATGTAGAAAGAAAAATTTCTTCTCTATAATTCAACCGTCCTAACTTTGCATATTGGTAGTTGTTTAAGAGCCTTCCTTTAAATGTTTAACGTAATAGTGTTACATCTCTACAGAAAACAATACATGAGACCAACTGGAAACAAACCTTTGCCTTTAGCAGTGTCTCCTCTGAAATTTGGTTAACAACATCTCCTAAACACCAGCCAATACTGATATGGAAGGATGGATCCTAAGAGTAGAAATAAGGAAAATGTACTTAAATCAACACAATTAAAAATCAGGATATGACAGGAAGCAAAATTTGACGAATTATTTAGATTTTAAATAATCATTTAATAATGGCATGTTGTAGAGAATAAAGTTTGGCTTTCTGGGGGCCAACGCAGGGTAAAATGAAAGGAGATTCCAAAAGCAATAATTAAATAATGCATGCAAAAGATAACAGGTTTAATATTTTGAGCACTGGGATGACATACCCATTTGAGTGTTAAGTTCACTAATAAAAAGTTAATATCTATATGTTAGTTCATAATCATAACATTTTAATGCAGGTTAATATGATTTTTATGTGTTATCTGTATACAGCATAAGAGATGTCAGTTAGTGACAACATATTAAGAGAGCAAATGGTTGCCTTTAGTTTAAGACCAAACAAAGAAAAGCTTAATATGACTGAACATCATCACCAGTCCAAAGCCATAACAATACCTTATAATAAGATGGAAGTTTGAATTCTCCAAAACTTTTGTCAACGGCTTTGACAAAGTCAATAAAGTCAGTCTCATCTTGTGACAGCTCAAGACATACAAATGTTCTGGTCAAATGAAATAAAAATCATTGAAATACCCTGTACATATTATATCATAAGACTATTTATTTGTTATTAAACAAGCTGAAGGTGCAAAGCAAAATGATTTTAACCAAAGAAGAAATGTTAATGTTTTTAATTCAAAGCTGGTAGGATGTTAACTAAATAATTTCCAGACAAGAAGTAAGGGATATTTTGTTAACATTAACTTGCATCAATTCAAATCTACAACTGTATTCATAATATACAAACATTTACATATATATATATATATATATAGACATAAATGTTTTGATCTGTCTGTATGTGTCATGATATAAGCAAAAAGTACCACTGCCAAGGATAACTCGTCAGTAAGTTGTAAATTTTAAGAGTAAGAAACTAAACAAGTTCATGAAAAGACTAAAACTCCATCATATGAAAGTGAAGAGAGGGAGCCAGGTCAGGTCCTTGCAGCCTCTGTTCACTTTCAGGATATGGATTTTCAAGCCTGTATTTCAGGACCTAGGCAGCTGCATGTAGATTACCTTGTCTTTTCATCATTAGTGAACAGCTTGATAGCCAACAAGTCACTCATAAAACTGTGTGGAAAGAAAGAATCATAAAAGAATCATGCTAATTTTCACTATAGGAAATGTTCAGTCTTAAACCACTTCAAGTTAATTAGTATATTAATTGTTTCAGATTATCTGGTTTACATTTTTTTGTGCCATAAGCTAATATTTTTTATTTTAAGGAAAAAAACCTGCGAAAATGTATTTATTAACATTTTTTTTTAAATAAGAGAAAACTTCAAAACTTTCTGTTGCCATTATACAAGTTATTTGTACCTTTTCATGAGTCTCAAGCTGTCCCTCAAAGAGTCCACAAGAGGTTCAATCCAATGGTGTCTGATGGTCACTGTACGTGACAAGCTGATATGAAACTCTGGAAAAGCTTGAAATTTTACCGGCTCAAGGATCCTCAGAATACTTTGAACGAATTGCACAAGTTTGGCTCCACCTTCCACTAGACAGAACATTAACAATGACAATCACAATCTTACTGCAGCACGCTGTATGGTTATAAATTTGTGCAGAAATTTTCATTAAGATAAACTACATGACAGAATTTCATTTCAAGTGATAAACTACATCTTTTACTCTCCATTAAACTAGAATCCTGTAAATTGAAAATGAACTTTGTAGCATGTTTCATTAAGCCAATTTGTTAGTTAATAAGGGCTGCAGAGTTTACAAAAGTTGCATGACTCAGTTGCCAAGAAACTATAGATAATTATAGAGTGATAATTTGACATCACTCAATCCCGTTTTTAAAATTATTTTTTGTGATGATATATTTAGTAAGCAGGACAAATTTACATGACACCCATCAAGAGTGACCTAACTGCATGTTTTGAAAAATAATTTTTCGTGCTGTAATGAATATGTATACGCGAAAAATTTATTTTAATGCAAAGTTAATATTAATACTTCACCTGGAATGAAAACATGGGTTGCCCAGTTGCCCTCTAGATGGGGAAATGATCTAACTCTATTACCATGCTCTGATGGCTTATCTATCCATTTTTGATGTTGAAACATAGCTTGGACAGAATCGGGAACATATAGTCGCTTGATATCATCTCTTCTGAAATTTAAATTGAGGTAATGCTGACACAGCTGGCAAAGAGATGTGGACAAAGATGTAATAAAGATTGAAAAGGTTTAGAGGAGACAGCTAGAGACCAGAAGGCTTGGAAAGAAATTTTTAATGGCTTATGCTCCAGTGGTAGTTGAAAAAGCAAAGAAGAAGAGAATGTTGACACAGCATAAGCTGCATGTAATGCAACAGATCCATTTTTTTGTTAAACAAAAGATATGTGTTATGAACCCGACTAAGGCTCCCATTTTTAATAAAAGTTTCTTTGGAACAGGGTTATTTGTATACAAGCTTTTACCATTCCTAAGGTTAATTCCTTCTTATGACAACTCCAATACTTTTATAGAAAATTAATCTCAGATAATTGTTCAATAAATATTTTGTAATAGTAATAATACAAATCACCATGTTATACTTTATACTCCTCCAAACAAGCATTAGAAATAACTCTCCATTTTAGTCATATCTAACTGTTACAATTTTTTATTATTTTGTTTCTAAAAATGAAAAGTCATAATCTGAGTTTACTGTGGAGGAGTTAAAGTTAAATACATGCAAGAGAAATGGTGGGAAAAAATACAGGTAACATACCCTTCTTCATTTAGCTTTCTCTTTCTACATGTATCATACTCTAGTTTTCTGTCTGTGGTCTGTACAGGTGCAGATCTAGGCACAGCATAATTGTTTGGTAAAATATCATTTTTGTCTCTTTCTTCTTTACTTGTGTCTGTGTTACATTTGTTTAACTCAATAGATTCGTTTTCTGTTGTTAAAAAAAAAAAGGAAAATATAATATGGAATAAGATCCTTAACTTTTTTTTTATGGCATTTTTTTTTTTAAANTGTAAGAAGGTGATATTTTTATGTTTGTTGTGCATCTTGGGTTTCAGTAGCTAGAAAACTAACAGAAAAGAATATTATTTTTTTGTTGAACAATTTTATTATTGGGGTCATCAATAAATGACGCCACGCGCAGGGGAGGGGGTTCCCCGCATTTTTGTGACGATTTGTGATGGGGGGTGGGGGAAGTAAAGCAAGTGGCATCACATTGAAAGCATTATAGTACAAATTTTGTAACAAAATGATTTTAATAACACTAAATTAGAGACCTTTTTTAACATTATTCTTTGATACACCAATTACAATTATTTTATTTTCAAACCATGATCACTGACAGAATCAGTACAGGTATGTGAGGTCCGAAAAATGGCGTCGGATCAAGTTACAGGCCGCCATGAAGGAGGAGATTCAGGGTATAGTGACTTTTCAGTCGTCAGAATTTATGTCAAAATGTGGGGGCGGGAATCGTAGAATTGGGGCTACCATGGGCGGGAAGTAAGATGGAACAAAAATTGTTGGACTGGGGGGAGGATGATTTTAGTAAAAGTAAACTTTCTAGACCAGGGATTCTTAAATTTTTCACAGAGCTGAATTCTGCTCTTAACTTCTTAACATATCCCGCAATCCTCCCCATATAATTTAAAAGTAATATAATTTAAACAATGAAAATAATTAAATAATGTATTGATTGTCGTTTTTTATTTGTTTAAATAACTTTATAAATAAGGTACAAGAAAAAATTACCAATACAAGTAATGCACAAACAAAATTCACCAGGAAAAAACATTTAGTGCTGCTATTCAAAATGCATATTTTTAAATGCAGCAAACAACTAGCAATGGCAGCAAACGAAATTTATATTCTGAGTCTTCCGCACCTCATGGGGTGCTGTCACCCCTGTTTAAGAGCCACTGTATTAGGGAAATGTTTCTGACACAGGTGCAGTAATTTGATATCCATGGGAGGTGATTTTTGAAAGGGCTTGTACTTGTAATTGTAAAGGACAGTAGTGGACAGATGATTGGTGGGGGTGCAGGGGGGAGGGGATGCAGAGGTTTGTGATGTCATATTGGAGGGGGATCTAAATTTTTGTTATGATATGATTTGTGATGATGGGGGAGGGGGTACAAAATCTTCAAAATTTGCGAGACATCATTTATGGATGGCCCCATTATATAATTTTAAAATCATATTTCAATTTCAGAATCATCAGAAATCAAGGGAGTTGGTCTCGGACAAGTATCAAGCAATCCAGCACAGGTGAAAAAGAGTTGCTGAAGTTCCCAGTTCCACTTCTTTTTTTTTTAAACATAGCTTCAGATGGCCTAAACATTTGAAAACAAGTCTTATTTGAAACTTTATTTTCACTGATCATCATTGTTTGGAATTTGAAGTTTAGTAGTTAGTTAAAAATTAGTGTTAGTTATAATTATTGATAAGAATCAGAAAGCAGATTAGTATTAGTATTAGATATAGTTTATAGAATAGACTATACTATAGACTATAGACCTATGCCTCTAGTTCTAGTTTAGGCTCTATATTCAACTATAGATAGAGTGACTGTAGACGGTAATCCTATTTAGCAAAGTAAATGATTACATATCTAGTAACTGAACTATTAACCCCAGCCCTAGCTAGGTCCCTGCCCTACACTGCTACTACTACTAGTACTAGTAGACCTACTAGCGGCTCAGCTAGGTAAGTCTAATTAATTAAAATAAATTGCCAATTTCTTATTAATATTGTCGGACAGTCGTTGAAAGTTACAATTATTTTTTTTTCACCATGAATATATGTTGTTCTGTTGTTTTTTAATTCAAATGAAGACACGCTTTTTTCTGGTGAGTTTAACAAAGTCTGAGTATCTTCTTCTTCCGAGCTTTCTGTATACGACACAAGTCGATTCATATTCCTTGAAGAGCTGGTGCACTGGTAAATCTAATTACTAAATACCCAACTGTGTATTTAAAACCATCCGAGATGGATTCTCCTACTTCTTATCAAGTCTTAGTGTTAGATGTGGACGATTAGATAACTATAGGCCTACTTATACTTCCCATGTTTTAACTTAAATAAGATGAAATATATTACTTTTCTTTGATTCACTTATAATTATATTCAGTTAAAGCCACATCTCTTACACCAAAATAATTATTAATTTTATTACATTTTTTCCGCTGCAGAATTTTCTTACATATTAATTATTCAAAAATGTATTAAGTATCATTAAGTATATAGAGCTTATAAGTGTGTGGGGGCCGTGTTTGGGTTGGGGGGGGGGGGATTTTTCGCTTGGTATGATTTAATTGTTTTTAACTTTTATTTTTATTTTTAATTTATTTTTATTTAATTATTCAAAAATGTATTAAGTATCATTAAGTATATAGAGCTTATAAGTGTGTGGGGGCCGTGTTTGGGTTGGGGGGGGGGGGATTTATCGCATAGTATGATTTAATTGCTTTTAACTTTTAATTTTATGTTTAAATTAATTTTAATTAAGTAGGACCTTTGTTTTTAGATTTGATCTATTAGGGTTTGTATTTTTGTGTGTAAATTATGTTTCTATTAGTTTATCGTGTACACATGTTTGTTAAACTTGGCGTTTTGCCAGCACTGCCAGATGTGTTGTTTGTATTCCGCCAACAGTCGGAGGTTGATTACCTGTTGGGTTTTGTTAACTGATTTAGGGAAGTGTTTAAGTAATAGATTTATCTATGTTTGTCTGGTGAGTTGTTCCTGCTTTTATGAGTAATATTAAGGTGGCTTTAGCTGTCTGTATTATTTTGAAATCCATGAATAAGTTTTGTTCTGTCTCTATTAAGATGTATCCGCAGAGTGAACATCTTGGTCTTTGAATTCTATAATGTTAAAAGTCTTTTAGTTTTAGATGTTGGTGTCATGTTGTACGGGAGACGGTAAGTTATTTCCCTTGCCTTGGTGTTCTATTTCTTTTATGTGTAGGCTTTAAAAAGTGTCTCCTATCTGTTTTGTGTTGAAATGTTTCAACTACTCGATCCTCTTCGAATGAAGTGTTTTCATTTTATCTCTCTTGCCGGCCAACTAGCCACCCACCCGGCCAACTAGCCACCCACCCGGCCAACTAGCCACCCACCCGGCCAACTAGCCACCCACCCGGCCAACTACCCACCCACCC